ATATATATATATATATATATATATATATATATATATATATATGCAATTTCTATCGATCGAAACCGATTGATGGATACTTTCGTAAATTTTTAGGGATAAATATTAAGTCTTTCGATTGTATAGAATCATCATCGGTTAGAAAAGTAAATGATCTATTTCTTGAACGAGTTTCAAATTCGCTAATTAACAAACGAACTTTTCGTAAGGATGGAATTTATCTTTCGTATAATTACCGAGGAAACAGGACTGCACAAATGGAGAAAATGAGAATCGTCCTTTTAAAAGGATTTTTTTAAAATTTGAAATAATATGGAATTCATTGGAACAGAAAGGTTTGGTAAATAAAAAGAAAGTTATTTTCCATCAAGTTAGATATTAAAAAAAAAAAAAGAAAAAAGATATTTCATCGACTTCTACGAAAGTTGACCGAGAGATAACGACGGGGATATTTGTCGTTGAAGAAGAAAAAAAATGAAATAATAAAATTTACTTCTTCGATCTCGCTATTTAATTAAAATTCAATTAAAAACTCATACAATGTTTTTTTCTCTTCCAGAGCTTACCGCAAACTCCAGCCGGTGGTGTCGGTGGAAAAGGTGGAGGAGGTAGTGGTGTTCTTGGTTCTGGCATGGTCAATGGTGCTGGTGCTGATCATCAAGATATTCGCGACGGTGCAGCTTTAAATACCGAACACGTAAGCACCTTGATGATTATTATATTTTCAAACACAGGCCTAATTATCATTATTATTATAATTATTATAAATTTGGTTATTTAGTTATAAGGTACATTTATTTAACAACTAATTATTACATTCTATTTAATTAAAACATGAATATCGACGGATTCTCTAGTAAATGAAATTAAATTACAAAATATCTCATCCTTGATGATCCCATTTTAATTTTCATCTTTAACATAAAATATGGCATATATTAACACGCACCACACGTACTACATCATCGTTTTAATACTCTAAAAGTTGAAGTTAATACCACATACAAGTTAGACCAGAAAATCCATCTGTAATATTTCTCACTAGAAGACCCAATTCGACTAAACTCGACTCAATTCTACTCGAACAAAATGTTATCCCTTTTTTATTTTTCAACTTTCTTCCTCGTTCATTCTCTGTGAAATACACAATAGTTACGAGCGAAACGTTCCTTCGTAGAGAATACGACGCTGAAAGACCGTCAGAATCGTTCGTTCTTTGGCGAGAAAGAACAAATCGACTTTTTCCTTTCCTTCTCGTATATAATTTCGCAGTTTTTACGTTACAACTTCGTTTCAACGAGATTTCGACAAAACTTTGCCAATGATCAAACTAAAAGTCATTCATTCTGGTATTGACAATGTTCGGTTCATTTTTTTTTTACTTTATTTTCCGAATGAAAGGATTTATTGCGAGGCAACAGGATGTAACGATGAAACGAAGATATGTTGAATAAAACAACAAAAAATTGTTCCTAGCAACGAATAATCGAGTTCGTTCGCAAAAGTTCAAAAATGTTCTCGTAATAGGATATCGAATAATATTCGTCGTATCAAAATTCGACTCGATATTTGCTATTTAAAATAATAATAATAATGATGAAAATAAATTGTAATTACAGTAATTGTATTAACAAAAATGTTAAGGAAACTAAGAAAATAGGTAATAGAGAAAAGAAAAAAACCAAATGAGGGAAAAATAAAACCGTAGTATCAAACAATACAATAAGACAAACAAAAAAAAAAGAAGAGAAAGAAGGAAGAAAAAGAGAGAAGAAAAAAACAGAAGAAGAAGAAAAAGGGATAGGAAATCAGTTGGAGGTAGTTAAAATCCAGGGATTAAACGATTACTTTCGAAGTTAAGCATTGTTCTCTCGTTGGTCCATCAATCCAAATCGAATCGATCTTTTTCCCGACGGCCGATTTTTGCGCGTCGATCCTTTCGTACGGAATTAAAACCTTTATCCGCGTTTTCTCTTCCTGCTTCGCTTGATCTCCAAAGATGGAAAGAGAAAGAGACTAACGGACAAGAGAGGTCGACGCATTCGAAAGTGGGGAAGGGATGGTGCAGTGTGGACAATTGAAAGAGAGTAGAAAGAGAGAAAGGGAACTGCGAGGAGAAGGGATTGAACTGAAAGAGGGGGTGGTGGAATGGGGCTAAAGAGTAGAAGGGATGGAAGTGAAAGAGGGTGGGATAGTTCCAGTCGGTGAAACTGCACCGATCATTCGTTCCGAAACGTCCACGTTCGCACCCGGTCTGATAAGCGTCACCAATTTTTTTTCATCTTCTATCTTTATCTTTCATACACCAATGTCACTCTTTCCCTGTAACCCTTTCTTTCTTTCCCTCTATCTATCTATCTATCTATCTATCTATCTATCTGTCTATCTATCTGTCTATCTATCTATCTATCTATCTATCTATCTATCTATCTATCTATCTATCTAACTATCTAACTATCTATCTATCTATCTATCTATCTATCTATCTATCTATCTATCTATCTATCTATCTATCATCTATCTATCTATCTATCTATCTATCTATCTATCTATCTATCCATCCATTCGCCCATTCCTCTCTATTTTCGCACTCTCTCGCAATTTTTTTCACGCGTTCGTCAATTTACATGCGCCAGCAAAATCAGAGCTGCTTTCGTCGTAGACAACCGCTCAACTACTCCCCTTCCCCATCCCCAACGCCTATTCTCAATGATCGAGAATGACGTTTGATGAAAGAACGATTATTTTTTAATGCTCGTTATGTTTCAACATTTTCAATCGGTCTTCCCCGTATCGAACTGAATCGTCCTCGATTAAATGCATGCACGTTGCTCACGGATACGAGTAGGAGAATAGGTAGGTACATAGTTTCGGAATATGAATGGATCGATAAATTCGTTCCCCCTTAGAATTCGATGAATGTTCGGAAGATTTAACAAACGACGTATTTGATTACGTTACGTCCATATGCTAAAATAGAAAGCGTAACTTCGATATTCGAATTTGTTTCATTCATCGTATATAGGAGATTATGCGTTGGGTCGATGTTGTACTATTAGATTAACAAGATTTGTCCGGAAAGGTAGCAGTTTCCATTTGTATAATCGGCAAGCGAAACTAACGGAAGATCGTTTTCCCGGTGGGCAGTAATAGAGAGTACTAGTAAAGAGGTACTATGAGCAAGTTGAAATAGTTTTGAAAGGCCAAAGTCTGAGTATGTATCGATCGCAGAGCGTGCGGATTCCCGCATAACTCGCATTTCCTGCATTTCCTCGACTCGGCTTATCTTACCACGACAGTTAGCCGAAGATCAGGCGGAAAGTGTAACCACTCACGACGATCGACCCACATACATTATCGTTGGAAATTCGGGCTGGGCGTTCTCGCCGATATTCCGAATACTGTTTCGCTGCTTCTACGAGTACGGAATGTCGCTATTGCGAACGCGCGCGTTTCTACGCGTAGAAACTACGTAGAGTACGCACTGTACATGTAGTGTAGGATCTTGGGTAAGTGAGCGTAACGTCAAGAGTATATTCGTGCACGATCATACTCAATAACGAGCATGATATGTCAAAGATGAAAAATCAATAACGTTAAATGGATTCGCGCTTCAAACTAAATTGATCAAATCATCCTCTTTTATCGGATTACACATTGGTGTCCATAAAACTAAGATAACTGTCGTTCTTTATTAACGTCATCAATCTAACCATATATCCACGATTATTTCTACCATTTTACGATATAGGATCGTGGACAATTTTTTTGTTTTTTATTTATTTTTTTATTTTATTTTATTTATTACTTTATCGATTTGACCGATCACTTCGATTTCTCTATTCTTCATTTCGTCGGCAACTCAAATGGCTATGTTTCTTGTTATTATTCTGAAATTTCTCCACTCTAGTTCTTTTTATACGAGAAACAGACATTTCATTTCTTTTTTTTTTTTGTCAAAAATTGATCTTCGACCTAGTAACCGACGGATAACTAAACATTGATTTTTCCGAATACGTGTTGAAACGTAAAGTTTTCGGTACGTACGCTTGTAGTGTGCACACACACATACAGACACACGCACGCGCTCGAGCACGAGCACATACAAACTTATACATACACGAAAACACATTTCAGTTTCATCTTATGAAAAAAACTCGTTGGCACAAACTCGTTCGTTGATTTCGGTAGGGAAAAACTAATTTCCTAATTGCTATCCAAATTTTTTTTTCCTCGAAATAACTCCGGGAGTTTACTTTTCTTCCTCTTATTTCTTCCCTTTTTTCTCTCTCTTTATCTTTTCTTTTTTCCTCGGTAGCACTCTTTCTTCGTCTTTGTTTCATCGCTTTGTGTGTTAGCGAACGTACACTCCGTTTCTCTTCAACGTTTTTCTTTAACTCATCCACACTCTTTTCGTAATCATAATTTCTTTTCTTTTATTCCTGCGACGATGCACCATAATGCACCATCCTTAGTTTACTCAATTAGACTTTTATTAATGTTTAGTGTTTGGATTGAAATATCACGGTGATGATTAAAAACGAATATTTTTCTTAACACAAATTATATAACAAAATACACACCCACACACATTTCACCAGTAAATGCGTGTAAAGTTTCAACGAAAATTCTGAAAATATTAAATTTTAGTAAAATGATTAACTTTGTTATGAGCTTTTCTTTCACGTTTACGCGTGTATATATTATGTGTTGTTTTTGTGTGTGTGTTGTGTGGATATCTACGTATGATGCTTTATTTAGACAATGTAACTAATCCGAAATGCGAAGAAGCGGTAATCCTTCCGACTGAAAACACGTTGTCCTACAAATCTCTTTAATTGCACCACTCCCGTAATGTCTCTTGAAATAATAAAAAAAAAAAAAGAAAAAACAAGCAAAAGAAAAATAAAGAAACGAAAGAGAAGCGCTGCGGCATATATTTCTTTTCTCGCTATCCTCTATACGTTTGGGTGCTCACGAAACGAGAGGAGGATTACTTTCGTAGACGTTGAGAGAAAATATCGAGAAAACACGCGACCTGAAAAGCATGTAGAGGTAGTTGCACGTATATATTCCTCTAGGTAATATATACAAAAAAAGTTAACATTGAGTCGTTTTATCTTAAATCTTTTCGAACGAATTCGCGATCCGTTGTTTATCCTCGGATCGACTATATAAAACCAATTAATTTCTACTAACTATAGGATGATGTTAATGTTAAAAGAAAGAAAACGATCAAAAGAATAGTTAGCTATTTAACATTGAGTAGTAATTTCATTTTCCGAGTTGTTCAAAAAACCGAATAATTTTAAAATAATGAAAAGTAAGGAAGTCGAAAGAATAATAAACTCCAGATCGACATATATATTGTATACACAGGGTATCCTATATAGTTCAAAGTTATAATTTGAAAAATAAAGTTATATGTATTAACTTTTTTCATTTATTTGACCTTAGTAATAAGTAGTATAAGTTTGATCTTAACCTTTTTGGGCATACTGTATATCAAATATAACAAGAGAACGTTATGCGAAGGATGAGAAAGAAAAGAGAAAAAGATAAATGGAAAGAAGGAAAGTAAGAGAGAGAGAGAGAGAGAGAGAAAAAGAGAAAAGACTAAGCGTAGATGTACGATATAACGGTAAAAGAGAGCTGAACGTTTTATTAAGCCGGATACATAAAAACCACAGGCGGCCT